TCCTGATGGGACAACAACGTTTGCAACGTTTGGCACTTGATTATTCATATCTGCGCCAGCAACATCATGATTAACGGGGTTAGTAACCTCCGCTATATGAGGATTCTCATCGATATCCATAGCAGGAATCTCATTCCCTAGAGCAGTATTTGAATCAATGGGATTTCTTGGATTATCACTGATCTGTTGAATAAATCCAATCATTGTTAGCTTTCACAAAGCTTATAATCTAAACCGAATTTCACTTAACTTATAAATTGGTTTGGCTCGCTTCCAGTGATAGCCGGAGGGTTCACCCCGATTCCCACGTCCTTACTATGAGGAGTGTATAAAGGGCTTCCTCTTCAAACCCGACCCGCTAAGACAAAGCTTGCTTCCCCAATTTACAGGAAAAATTACTTTCGATTTTGTTTAACCTTTTTTTTCCTCAAAATTAATATTCATTTTTTTTTTCCACAAAACACTTTTAAATAAAAGATATTGAGCAAATTCTCTTATGGGCTTTTAGACTAATCTTTTTAAATTGGGCCAAGACAAAAGTTTTCAATTTGGACTTACTCTTTTGGGCTTCTCAATTAATCTCTTTTAATTTGGGCTTCACAAGTAACCTCTTTTAATTTGGACTTCAATTTTAAATTTGGGCCTTAAACTCAATTGGGCTTAGACTCATTAATATTTGAAAAAGAAAACAACTATTTGGTTTTTTTTTCCAACACTTTTTTTTTTAACCTAGTTGTTTCTAAATCCAAATTCGTGTGAGGTTTTATACCGAAATTGAAAGAGATTTAGGCACTTACCCGAGAAGTTTGCCTCGTGTTAACCATTTCGAACTTAAGATTGTTGGGGACGACGGTTATTGATGACAGCAAAACTCCGGCAATTCGAGCGATTCCAGATAAGTACCTGAAATTAAAAGAATATTTTGTCGAGGCCTGTGAAGCATAGTTTTCTTAAGTTCGATTTTCGTGCCACCTCTAAAGCTTCGAGGCTATTGGAGCACGGTGAACTCCCAGGATACAACGACCGCGTATTTAGAAGAAGCTTTCCAAATACCAAGCGAACTCAGAGAGAGATATGAGCAAATATGTGAATGCTCTTTTTTCTCTAGAATGCTTGTTTCTTTTCTGTGTAATTTATGAGCTAACCCAAGACCCCTATTTATAATAGAGGGGAGAATCTCAAAATAAATCAATTTGAATTTCAAAATTCAAATTTGATTTTATCTTGATATTATCTCAATCTTATCTTAATCATATTTGATAGATTTTCTGCGGATTTGAATCCAATTTGAATTTGAATTTGAATTTCAAATTCAAACAAGAATATTCTCTTAATATTCTGCAGATTTAAAGTTTCTAAAACTTTATACGGACCGGGATTCTCACGGGCTAGGCCCGTTTTGATTCTTTCAAATAAACCCAAATCCAACAAAAATAAGATCAAATAGCAAAACGTTTTGATTTCTAAAAGATAGATTGTCATAAAAAAATACTTGCATGAATTTCGTTTTCCTCCACATACATAAAAAAACACTTATATGGATTTTTTTTCTTATATAAGTATAGAAAAACACTTGCATTCTCACGGGCTAGGCCCGTTTTGATTCTTTCAAATAAACCCAAATCCAACAAAAATAAGATCAAATAGCAAAACGTTTTGATTTCTAAAAGATAGATTGTCATAAAAAAATACTTGCATGAATTTCGTTTTCCTCCACATACATAAAAAAACACTTATATGGATTTTTTTTCTTATATAAGTATAGAAAAACACTTGCATAGGTTTCGTGAAAAAACACTTATAGGTCAGCAGATCAGCATGCTGCATGTCGTAAGTCACCCGTGACATATCGCTGGTGACGTGCCGCATGTCGCAGGTGACTTATCGTAGGCCTCAAGTCACATTTTGGAACCTGCCGTCGTTTTCTGTTTCAGGAACTTCATCAAACACCTTGTGTGTAGAAAATAAAATGATCATATGAATACCACAAAAAAAGAAATCAGGCAAAAGAATATTTGATTGATGAGATAAACTGTAAGAAATAGAGAAAATATTAGAGAAAACAGAAGGACAAATTTCAAAATGCACTGATTTCTAAAATACAGATTATCATATAATCGTAGAGAGATATAAACGAGAATAGATAAATGAACATGGTCGTAGTTACCATTAATTATCTGGTCGCGTTTGCATTATGTTAAACGGTCGTAGTTATCGTTAATTATCTAGTCGTATTTGCATTATGTTCCTAGTACAATCACGGTCGTAGTTAGTGAAATCATGGTCGTAGTTATCTGGTCGCAAGCCGCAAGCCGCAGGTCGCAGGTCACAGGTGCGATAGGCTGCAGGTTACAGGTGCGATAGACCGCAGGTCACAGGCTGCAAATAACCTAACGCGGGCCGCAGGTGACCTGCCATAGGCCGCAGGTCACATACTGGAACCTACCACCGTTTTCTACTTCAGAAATTTCATCAAACACCTTGTATACAGAAAATATAATGATCATATGAATACCACAGAAAACAGAAGAATATTTTATTAGATGAAATAAACTGTAAAAAATAGAGAAAATAGAAGGACAAATCTCAAAACGCACTGATTTCTAAAAGACAGATTATCGCATAATCGCAGAGAGATATAGACGAGAAGATTTGGTCCAACCAACAAAAGGATAGAGAGAATAGGTAAAAAAAACATGGTCGTAGTTACCATTAATTATTTGGTCGCGTTTGCATTATGTTCAATGGTCGTAGTTATCGTTAATTATCTAGTCGTATTTGTATTATATTCATAGTATAATCATGGTCGTAATTATCTAGTCGTAGTCGTAGTTATATGGTCGTAGTGAAATCACGGTCGCAATTATCTGGTCGTAGTCGTAGTTATCTAGTTATAGTGAAATCACGGTCGCAATTATCTGGTCGTAGTCGTAGTTATATGGTCATAGTGAAATCACGGTCGCAATTATCTGGTCGTAGACATAGTTATCTAGTCATAATCAAATCACGGTCGCAATTATCTAGTCGTAGTCGTAGTTATATGGTCGTAGTGAAATCACGGTCGCAGGCCGCAGTTGGTAGGTCAGCAGGTCCGCAGGTCACAGGTCAGCAAGTCCGCAGGTCGCAGGTCTGTAGGTCCGCATGTCCGCAGATCGCAGGTCTGTAGGTCCGCAGGTCGCAGGTGCGACAGGCCACAGGTTGCAGGTACTGCAGTTGACCTACTAGGTGTCGAAGTCACCTGTCACAGGCCAAATGACCTGCCGCAGACCGTATGTGCCGCTGATACAACAGATGAGCTATTGCAGGTGTCGCAGGTCATAGGTGCCACAGGTGCCGCAATTGACCTACCAGGTAACGCAAGTGACTTGCCATAGGCCAAGCGATCTACCGCAGATCGCAGATCATTTGCGGCATATCACAGGTCATTTGTTAGACCATAGGTCATTTAATGCAGAACGCATGTCATTTTTCACAAATCGCAGGTCATCAACTGCAGTTTTTCTAGTACAGACATTTCATCAAACATCTTATGTGCATGCAAAAAAATGATCAGAATATCACAGAAAAAATCAACGAGAAGAGTATTTGAATAAATTAGATAAACTATATAAGAAATAGAGGAGATAGAGAAAATATTGGAGAAAAAAGAAGATCACATAGCAAAAACTTATCGATTTTTAAAAGATAGATTATCACACAATCGTAGAGAAATACTGTAAAGGGTAGTTTTGGTATTTAGAAAAAAAATGTATAGTATGCAAAAGTTGTTTTTTGTGAGATATTTTGCAAATTTCGTTTTTGTTTGGATATATTCTGCCAACTGCCCTATATATATATTATGTTTTAAAATATTTTTGTAAATTAAAATTGTTTAGTATTTTAATAAATTAATAATATTTTGTTGAAACTTGTACCAATAACCTGTGATAGATTTACACATTCGTATAACTGATTATAATAAAGATCATATCTTTCAGGACCAGGTGCAGTGGTTAAAGATCTCATAATTTTTCTAAGAGGTCATGGTTCGATTCCACTCTCAAGTGAATCTGTCATCTTTTGAGCGGTTTATTTATTCTGCGTGGTTTATAGACTATTACGTAATAGCGGAAGATACCGCGTCCGAAAGATTGTGGTTTGATTTCGTTAAAAATAAAAAAGTATCGAATTATAATATTTTTTCTAAGCATATGCTGACCTAATGCCAGTCTACACGTTCGATTATAATAATACAAAAAAGCATCTGTATCATACCTGTATTCTGTATGGTCCATATTACATTTCACGAGGAATTAGCCAACATTTGAAAAAAAATCATATAATCTTTAATATTATAGAAACGATTTCATTTGCAAAAAAAAAAAAAAAAAAAAACAATAACCCTTGTTTTTTTTAATTACATTATCAAAGTAAATCAAACATAATAATTAGATCCAAAATATAAAAAACCTTATAAATTATAAAATGAGTAAAATCATATTCTTGTGACCATAATTTATTATCAGAATTGCCAAATTCATACTAAAATTTATTTTCACATTTATTGCCAGAAAACTTAACAATATAGATTTCATTGATGAGGCTCTTCAAACCCTTTGGACTCTTTAAGTTGTTGTTTATGAGAAACAATCCCATTTTCCAGGGTATCTCCCTTGAAAGATACGCAGCAGAATCTTCTCAGAAATGCCCAGAAACGCATAATTTTCTTTCCCTTTCCTGTAGATTTTCTCTGTCAATGATTAAAATTTGCAATCTTTTATACTGGGAATTGAATTGATTGATAAAGTCGGTGATGGGTCGATTCTCTTGCTGGGTTTTACGGGACAAGGTTTTTTTTTCTTTCATAAATTTGTTTTGTTTTTTTGTCTAATTTCGTGTTCAAGCGTTATAGTTTTGGTTCTGCAAGTAAAGTTGGATCCTTTCAAAATCCGTAGTTTCTGGGTTTCTCTCTCGCCTTGCGCAAAACGTGAGACTGTTGTTTTCCCCCAAATCAGATAGTCTTGCCCTGAGTTTTCTCGCTGCGTATGAAACGCTTCAGATAAACCCTTTTTTGTTTTTGTTTTTATCTATGCTTCTTTTTGTTTCGTATAAAGGGCAGCTACCTTTCTCTGTCTGTGAATTGACTGGTCGGTTCGCGAGTTATTGTCTGCCGTGTTGTTATTCTAAGTTTGGTCCGCTTGTTTCTGTATTGTCTGATACCTCTTGTTTCTACGTTCGCGATATTTGATGAGTGCCGATTTCTTCTCTTGCAGTGTTGCAGTGAATTTGAAGCTTATCCAGAAGAATAGATTGAACCGTTGCTGTGTTTTTCAGGGGGCATTAACATCTCTGGGCTCATCTATATCTGTAGGGTTTTCTGTCGGAAAAACATTGATTTGGAGTATTGGAATTGTGAACTCTGAGAGTGTGATTTTGCTATGTCTGGTTTCAGAGGATCATAGATAGAAGAGTATACTCTTCCTGAATCTTTTTTCCCATTTGGGTCCCTGGGAAATTTCGTGTA